CACTAGATCTCATCATCTGAAAATTATGATATGTTACTGATATTCTGAAATAATTCACAGATGATATAAATTGTAGTAAAAATGCCATTCTAGATGTTAGCATACACTAGTAGAATATTCATTTGAGAATTAAAAAAAAAATTAGAGAATGTTTTCCAGACATTACTAGAGTAAAATTTATATTAAATAATATGAATACTATAGTTTATTTTAGAACTAAATATGTAAAATGTGAGAGTTTCAAACAGAGATAGAGATTTTAAATCCATCATGGTTGGATGAATGTATAAATAATGGATGGATAGACCTGCAGTTTTCAATTAAATTCTTTACAATTTCTCGTTCAGTGAATAATTCTCAGACAGGTATCTTGACATATCAATTTGAATATAAATATAAATAACCTAAGCAATATAAAAAATTGCAATATTAGAGAAAAATATATTCTTACCCTAAAAAATTCCTTAGTGGACCCTGAATCCAATGTTCCATATGCAATTTCTGTTTGTTTTGAAAGATCCTCTGCACTTTCAATTGGTGAGACCATCCTTTCGACCGTAAGGAAAGCAGCTAAGTTAGCCGTGTAGGATGAAATTATGATCAAGGTAAAGAACCACCACACACCTCCAACAATTCGACCAGAGAGGGATCTAATAACAAGTATAAAATTTGTGTTTTTAAAGTAATTATCATTTCACAAAATGTCATGGTGTTTCAATGCTGGTGTTTGATTAGAATAACATTTTTTTAAAATATCAAGAGACTTCTGAAGTCGATAATATTTTATACCTTTGGAAAGAAAAACACTGGAAATATATGTCTTTCCATAGTGTTCTTTACATTATAAGCAAAAAGAAATATACACACAAAATACATGAATACTAAAATACCATTGATGGCTTTCTCATTGAAAAGGTTTAACAACAGTAGCAAACAGGTACAGGGCAGCGTATAATGTAAATGAGCCACTTGGCAATTTTTTTGCCCCCATTAACATTCCCCACAGCTGCTTTGTTCCATTTCCCTATTCTCCCAGTTATGTCTCCATCTTAAGCATCAACTTCAGTTTTCCAAGTACTTATTGCCCATCCATTCATTTGTGTACCCCACATATACTAGTCCATTAAGTACATCTTCAGCACCATCTTCCACGTTTTTGAAGATTTTTTATAAGATTTTAAAGATAGTATGGAAATAGCCATACATGTACAAACAGTTGACATTATCAGTTAAATGGTTAGTTGGTGAATTGCTGCACTAATGTCCTTTATGATTGTCAGGACTGACCTGACTCTAATTCACAAACCTAGGTTACAGACAAGGCAGGAATGCATAATGGTCCTTAGAGTGTGGAGGCTAGAGAAAATAAGTCAGAATGTCTGCAAGCAGACTCAAAATAAACGTAAGCAGGCCGATGTTAAGAATAACAGAAGAAACATAGAATGTGACGGCAGATAAGAACCATTCGGCCCATCAAGTCTGCCCAATTTTTTAAATACTTTCATTAGTCCCTGGCCTTATCTTGTAGTTAGGATAGCCTTATGCCTATCCCACGCATGCTTAAACTCCTTTACTGTGTTAACCTCTACCACTTCAGCTGGAAGGCTATTCAATGCATCCACTACCCTCTCAGTAAAGTAATACTTCCTGATATTATTTTTAAACCTTTGTCCCTCTAATTTAAGACTATGCCCTCTTGTTGTAGTAGTTTTTCTTCTTTTAAATATAGTCTCCTCCTTTACTGTGTTGATTCCTTTTATATATTTAAATGTTTCTATCATATCCCCCCTGTCTCGTCTTTCCTCAAAGCTATACATGTTAAGATCCTTTAACCTTTCCTGGTAAGTTTTATCCCGCAATCCATGAACCAGTTTAGTAGCCCTTCTCTGAACCCTCTCTAAGGTATCAATATCCTTCTGAAGATACGGTCTCCAGTACTGTGTACAATACTCCAAGTGAGGTCTCACCAGTGTTCTGTATAATGGCATGAGCACTTCCATCTTTCTACTGCTAATACCTCTCCCTATACAACCAAGCATTCTGCTAGCATTTCCTGCTGCTCTATTACATTGTCTGCCCACCTTTAAGTCATCAGAAATAATCACCCCTAAATCCTTTTCCTCATATGTTGAGGTTAGGACTCTATCAAATATTCTGTACTCTGCCCTTGGGTTTTTACGTCCAAGATGCATTATCTTGCACTTATCCACATTAAATGTCAGTTGCCACAATTCTGACCATTTTTCAAGTTTACCTAAATCATTTGTCATTTGGCTTATCCCTCCTGGAACATCAACCCTGTTACATATCTTAGTATCATCAGCAAAAAGACATACCTTACCATCAAGACCTTCTGCAATATCACTAATAAAAATATTAAAGAGAATGGGTCCAAGTACAGATCCCTGAGGTACCCCACTGGTGACAAGCCCAAGCTTCGAATATACTCCATTAACTACAACCCTCTGTTGCCTGTCACTCAGCCACTGCCTTACCCATTCAACAATATTGGAATCCAAACTTAAAGATTGCAGTTTATTGATAAGCCTTCTATGTGCAACAGTGTCAAAAGCCTTACTGAAATCTAGGTAAGCAATGTCTACTGCACCACCCAATCTATTATTTTAGTTACCCAATCAAAAAAATCAATAAGATTAGTTTGGCATGATCTCCCTGAAGTAAACCCATGTTGTCTCTGATCTTGAAATCCATGTATTTTTAGATATTCAACAATCCAATCCTTTAACATGGTTTCCATTACTTTCCCCACTACTGAAGTAATGCTTACTTGCCTATAGTTGCCCAACTCCTCCCTACTACCTTTCTTGTGAATGGGCACAACATTCGCTAACTTCCAATCTTCTGGGACTACTCCTATTAACAATGATTGGTTAAATAAATCTGTTAATGGTTTTGCTAGTACACCACTAAGCTTTTTTAATAACTTTGGGTGTATTCCATCAGGTCACATTGACTTATTTGTCTTTACTTTTGACAGTTGAAATAGAACCTCTTCTTCTGTAAACTCACATGTAATACATTACTTATTTCTCCTTTTTCCTAACTGAGGTCCCTTTCCTTCATTTTCCTCTGTAAATACTGAACAAAAATATTCATTGAGGCAGTCAGCTAGACCTTTATCCTCATCTACATACCTTCCTTCTTTTGTTTTTAATCTAACTAATCCTTGTTTTACTTTTCTTTTCTCACTTATGTATCTAAAAAATGGTTTGTCCCCTTTTTTTTACTAACTGTGCTATTTTCTCTTCTGTGTGTGATTTGGAAGCTCTTATAACTTGCTTAGCCTCTTTCTGCCTAATCTTATAGAGCATTCTGTCCTCCTCACTCTGGGTTTTTTATAATTACTAAATGCTAACTTTTTGTTTTTTTACTATTTTGCCCACATCTGCGGAGTACCCCAGTGGTTTCTTGAATTTTTTGCTTTTGCTGACAAGCCTAATGCAATTTTCTGTTGCCTTCAGCAGTTCAACTTTTAAATAATCCCATATCTCTTGGACACCATTTAAATTGCTCCAATCACATGACTCCTTTACACATATTCTAATTTTAGAAAAGTCTGTTTGTTTTTTTTAAAGTCTAAAACTTTTGTTTTTGTGTGGTGTGACTCAGTCACTGTTCTTATTTTAAACCACACTGACTTATGATCGCTGGATCCTAAACTTTCACCTACAGTAATATCTGATACCAAATCTCCATTTGTTAACACTAAATCTAGAATGGCCTCTTTGCGAGTTGGCTCCTCAACAACTTGTTTTAGAGACAATCCCAGTAGGGAGTTTAGAATATGTGTGCTCCTGGCACAAGCAGCTAATTTTGTTTTCCAATTCACATCAGGAAGATTAAAGTCACCCATGATGATAACTCCCCCCTTCATTGTTATTTTAGCTATTTCCTCAACTAGTAGATTATCTAACTCTTCTATTTGTCCTGGGGGCCTATAAATCACACCTACACGAGTTACTGTGATTACCAAATTCTAACGTAACCCAAAGGGACTCTATGTTCGCCTCACTAACTTTGATTAGGCTAGATTATATGCTATCCTGTGTACACCAGCCAATGTCAGGGTTATGGAGAGTAAGGATAGTCAGGTAAGCTACAGTCATAAAAGACAGTAACGTATTCTCGGGTATGCAGAAACAGGGCAGGTAAATAGGGACAGCCAGAAAGTGATATACACCCTATCATAGATATCATAAAAAGGGCCATATAGCTTTAAACATAAAAAGGGAAACAGACCAAGTGTTTCGCATCATGAAAGACATCTGAACAAGGCATCACGACATGACGTGCGGGGGACATTGGAAGCTGAATGCAGAAGTGCCAATTCTGGGAACGCACTGCGCCGTGGGGAGGCATCATAACAAATCATTCCCTTCATCATAGTACTTACTTTAAGCCCATCCATCAAAGTACCATTTTCCTCCAACTTAACACACATCATTTTGCTTTCTATCTCACTGAATCTATTATTCATCATTTACCTTAGGACCATCTGCCTAATGCCCAACACTCAACATGAGGTCCACTTCATCCTAGTGCAGGGTTTGCAGCCTTTGGCACTACGATGTTGTGGACTACATCTCCCAGAATTCTCTGATGTTTATAATGCTGGCAAAGCTTTAGGGGAGATGTAGTCCACAACATCTGGAGTGTTGAAGCCTGCCTACACCTGTCCTAGTGTCTGCTAATATCTATCACTTCATATTAGAGCCTCTTCCTTCCTAGCACCATTTTCTTCCATTTTGTAACCAATTTCCATCAAGTATGCAGCTTTATTTTAGAACCCTCTTTCCTCTATGTTCTAAAGTTATGCACTTTGGCGTAAAGAATGCACAAGCAACATATACCCTTAATGGAAGTGAATTAGGGATAACAAAACACGAAAAGGGCTTGGGAATTGTTATAGAAAACAAACTATGCTACAATGTGTAAGGTATTGTCATGCATAAAAAAGGCTGATAATATAATTTTGCCTCTTTATAAATCCCTGGTAAGACCACATATTGAATATGCTGTGAAATTTTGGGCACCTGTTCTAAAGGTTTAATTTAAATGGATGTGGTTTTAAAGATCTTCTCAATGTGGTATGTGTAGTATTTCTTTACATAATAAGAAAAAATATTATTACATTACATCTAGTTATTTCTTTCATTGTAATTATAACTATCAAGTGTAGAAACAGGGATTATATTTATTAATCAACAAAAAGTAGTAGCATTTTCTCTCTCTTTTATCTGAAAATTCATATTGTAAGTATTGCTTTGAACAGGCTATGGGAATATGAAGGTTTTTGTACACACTATATTTTAGTTTTAAAAAAATGTTCCTATTTTCTGTATTTAGTGTATATTAAGACTATAAATACATTATACAAATTGTATAATTTGAGTTAATTGATCACAATTACACATGCCATGGGTTTCTAGCTTATTTACTTAAATAAGAATTACATGACAATTTAAAGTGAATTTCAAATTTTATTTCAGAGTAGCAGGCATAGTTGACTTAGAGAATTTTTCTAGTTCAGCTATTTTGACCTTAAATTTGAAATTCACTTTGAATTCACATTGAATTCTTACGTTAGTTAATAGCCATGTCAGTACAGAAAAAAAGATATTATTTATCTGTAGATAATTGCTGATTATAATTTTGTATCAAATTGCAACTTAATGAATTTGAAAGGCAATTAATTGAACATTACATTTAGACATGAATGGAATAGTTGTCTCCTGACATTTTGATAAAATGACGAGAACAGTGAATTATTTTATCTCATTCTGTTCCCGTAGTAATATAACATTATGAGAATAATTAATTGGATTATAATTTAGCTATTCATTTATGAATTCTCTTGTTACATGTTAAATCATTTATGATCTGTTGACTATGGACAACCAGTTTCTTTCTATTTGCCACAATGGCTGTAAGAAACTACAATTATATTTCAATAATTTTGAATAAAAATGGATAATGATTCTTGAAAATGCTTACATTAAAATGTTTAAAACTTGGTGTCTCATTTATTTTAGTTTTAGAAGAATGCTGTCCACTATACAAATGAGCTGTGAATATAATAAAAGTCAAGGTGATTTAACAGGAAGAATAATTTACAATATCTGTTATGCTCAAGTATATCCAAGGTTATAATTCATTGTCATCAAGTATATCCTCGCTCAGGGTTCTCCAAACTCTGGCCCTCCAGATGTTGATGATCTACAACTGCCAGGCAAAAGTTAGAAGCTATGAAGCTGTTTGAGGACTACTCGGAGTATGTCCTGAGAGCTAATAGAGAATTTGGAGCAATTGACATGCTTCATGGCAGGAGTGGCAACAGTTACTAGAAGGCTAAAGTTGTCATTGCAGGAGCATTACTGAAGATGAGATCAGAAAAGAGAAAGTTAGACACTTAGAGAGGATTAAAGAGCTAGAGTTAGACAGAGAAAGAGCGGGAGCATTATACTGAGCCATATTACTGGACATATCTCTGTATTTTAGCTCTGTTGGATTTCAATTAACATCTTTGTTAATTAGAACGTTGTTAAATCACAGAGACACTGACTGTGTGGGATAGTTATGGTATCTCTGTATTGTACCCAGCTTTTGAATTTTATGTTTGTGTTGTGTTGTGTCACTGCATGGGTACTTTTGTACTATGCTTAGTTCTGTGTATTGTATTGGTATCTTCTTTCTGTACTGGATTCTTTGTATTTTACTGCATTGTACCTGGCTCTGGGTATTCTATGGGTATTTGTGTATTGTAATCAGTTCTGTGTATTGTATTGGTATCTCTGTATTATAATTAGCTTTGAATATTGCATAGATATCACTATTTTACTTTATTTAGCTCTGTGTATTTTAAGGGTAACTCTGCATTGTATGCAGTTCTGTGTATTGTATTGGTATCTCTGTATTGTAATTAGCTTTAAATATTGCATTCATATCACTATGTTACTTAATTTAGCTCTGTGTATTGTAAGGGTATCTCTGCATTGTATGCAGTTCTGTGTAATGTATAGGGTTTACTATTAGGGGTTGAGTACATGAGAAAAAGAAGGCAGATGCCACAGGTCAGAAAATGGTGGAGAATAGAGTTAAGGGGCGGAATTAAACTCCTTTTGGAGGAGTCTGGTCACCCTACTGTCATAAAACTTCACCACCAGCCATCACTGATCACATTCCGTTCCAAATATTCCTTAATTACATATAACATTTTATTGAATACCATTTCTGAGACTGTGACATTGATGCTAGAATTCATCCATTCATCCATATGTGTCAGGAATCAGTGGATTTGCCCTGATACATACTCCTGGTGTGGCAGAGTGACTGGGCCTTTATTTTCATGCTATCGGGATGTATCAGGGCAACTCTACTGATCCCTGACACCCTGTGGTTGCTCAACCAGTTATCTGTTGTTCTGACACACAGCAGTTAAAATCAGCCACTTTCATTTCAGAAGATGATGGTGTATAATAGGAAATATGAATTTATATGAACACTACTTGGATTTATATAAATTAAGTATTTAGATAAACAATAGTTAAATTCACTTATGGTTCATTGTTAAATTATTTTCTAGACCCATGCGGCAAATCAGAGGTATGGCAGTGGATGGAAAAAGAATAGGATAAGCAAATAAAAAAATAATATTATTTACTGCACATTTGAATGAACTAATCAGAATAGTTTGATTCACTATATGATCATTAATTGCAGTGTATTAGAACCAAACATAATGTATTTGTTCAAGGGGAAATAAATCAGTAATGCAAGGCACAGATTGAAGCTCATATACAAACTACAAACTGAAGTTCTGTTTCTGCAAAGGTTATCATCACAGTATTTTATTTTTCTTAAAGGGACACTATAGTCACCAGAACAACTACAGCTTATTGAATTTGTTCTGGTGTGTATTATTATTATTATTATTATTATTATTATATTTATAGAGCGCCATCAAATTCCGCAGCGCTTTACAATGGGTGGACGAACAGACATGTAGTTGTAACCAGACAAGTTGGACACACAGGAACAGAGGGGTTGAGGGCCCTGCTCAATGAGCTTACATGCTAGAGGGAGTGGGGTAAAATGACACAAAAAGATAAGGATAAAATTAGACTAGTAACAGTTGCAGAAGAGGAATCAGTCAGGAGCTATTAACAGTTTAGTTGATACGCTTTTATGAAGAAGTGGGTTTTTAACGATTTATTGAAGGAGTGGAGACTGAGTGAGCATCTAACGGAGGAGGGAAGCGAGTTCCACAGGAAATCTCAAATCTTGAAGGCGAGCATCAGAGATGGGAGTATGGACAGAAGATAGACGTAAGTCTTCAGCAGATCGTAAGGGCCTAAATGGGACATACTTGTGTATAAGGGAGGATAGGAAGCCAATGTAGGGACTGACAGAAGGGTGAGGCATGGGAGGTGTGGGCGGACAGGAAGATGAGCCTCGCCGCCGCATTCATTATGGACTGTAACGGCGCAAGTTGGGAGCACGTAAAACCACTGAGAAGCGGTACCTTCAGGCTTGTTGCTGTCTTTTCAGAGAAAATGCAGTGTTTACATTACAGCCAGTGATAACTTCACTGGCCACTCCTCAGATGGCTGTTAGAGATCCTTCCTGGGTCATGCCTGTCTAAAATGCATCCAAACATTCAATATCTCCTCCCTCTGAATGCAGGCACTGAACTTTCCTCATTAATTGATTCAATTCATCTCTATGAGGAGATGCTGATTGGGGTCAGGGCTGTGTTTGAATAATGCTGGCTCTGCCCCTGATCTGCCTCTTTGTCAGTCTCAGCCAATCCTATGGGGAAGCACTGTGATTGGATCAGTCTACCACTTCTGATGATGTCAGCAGACTGCTTGTTTTTTTGAGGCAAACAGCATGCAGAGTTACAGCTTCTGACTTGAATACAGTAAGATTTTGCTATATTTATGGAGACATGAGAGGCCCAAGGGGGATAGATGGTGGTTTTAACACTATAGGGTCAGTAATACATGTTTGGTAAAATGAGTGTCATTGAGTCATTCTATAGGACATAAATAGCATTTACAGGCACGCTAAGGCAAGATCAAATTTTAATTTATTCTTTCTGTTAAAACACTTGATTATTTGTTTCTCTAAACTGATTTTATTGTATTTTTCTTACACTTCTCTGCAAACATTATACAATTTTCTAATTAGCCAGACTATATATTAAAGAATTACAATATATGTTATCTAGAATTATGATAAATAAAGTGAAACAAAACTAACAGTGAATAATTAAGAGAAGGTATTGGCATGCATGGCCTTTAAGTTGCATTACAGATGCAAACCTTTTATATATAGTAAAAAAAAAAAACATATTGCAGCTTGACAAGTATGTTATTTCAATGTTTTGCTTTGTTGTTTGTGGGAGAGGGTTGCTTTGTTTTTTTAAATTTTTAAAAAATTTTTTTTTTTTTTATTAAACCAGAATAAATGATTCTGAGGCAATGGGATTTGATAAATGTCTAAAACACCTTTTTCTCCTCTGTGTTGCTGTCAGGAACTGCTTCTTATAATTCATCCCCATATAAATACTACATTAAAATGCAGTCCTTTGACTAATATTACAAACAGAGATTGTATTCATTTAGAAATAAGATAACTAATTTGTCAAAACCAGCTAGGGAAATAACAAAGAGAATAGGCAGATACAAAGATACCAAAGTTTTTGTCCAAATAATTGTCTCTTTTCTTTGTCTAATTTCATGTAGATTTTGTAAACAAAATGCAGCATTCTAATATGCTTCCGTCAGACTGGTTATTGTACTCTCCCTTGATCCAAACCTGCAGTATCTAGTAACACAGTTGTACACATCAGGAACCACAGCACCAGTTTCTGAGAGTTGGATTTCAATTAACAGCTTTGTCAAGTAGAACAGTGTTAAATTGAACAACAATGTCTAGAAATCTCTGCAGTAATCTAAGCAGTATTGAGACTGTGCACAGAGAACCTTGATTTCTGCTTACCAGCTGTCATAGCTGGTGTCCTGCGCCGTCCCGGTCCCGCCGTCCTCTCGTTTCGGGCGGTGTGGATCGCTGGTGGGCGTCGTGCGCGTGCGCCTCCGGGGGCGCGCGGGCATCTGGGAGAGCGCCCGGGGACGTGCGCTCGCGCACAAGGTAGCCGGCAGGGATATCGTGGACTCCAAATTTAAAGAGATGGTGGCCTATTGCCACTATCTATTTATACCTCCTTCAATTCTGTCCCTGCCTATCAGCATTCACCTTACCCTATATTAACCTCCTCCTGACATCACTTCCTTGCCCTGTCGTGGTTTTTTCTAGCCCGAGAGTGCGTTCTTAGTAGTTGTCTTTTCTCTGGTTCCTGACTTCGACTTGTTTATTGGTTATTCTTATTTCTGGCTCCCTGACCTTGGCTCTGTCTATTTCGCTTTCCCGTATCTCTGTATTCCTGACCTTGGCATGTTTGACTATTCTTATCTCTCATTCCTACGTTAAGTCCGGCCACTTTAAGGTCCGGTAATACGTCTATCTGTGTTCACCTTTGTTGTTCTCTGGTTTGCGTGTTGGGGAGTATAACCTTGACACCAGCTACCACAAACACTTTAAGTCTATAGACCAGAATGAGAGACTTCTGATTGGCCAAACTAATTTCTGAACATGTCAAAGCTCAAGGGTAACGAAGTAATATGTGGGGTAGCTTTAATTGTAACTCAATGAAGTGAAAGAGAAGGAGTTGACATAATGTTGCATGCATCCTAGCATCAATCACCTCATTTAAAGGGGAAGAAGGGATTTGATGTCATAAATAGCTG